GCGAAAACATTCGTATATTCGCAACCGACAAAGATCATCGTAACTCTTTCAGGGAAGCGCTAAGCATCCGGCAACTATTACGTCAACCGGAACGAATTCCACACCTCTCGATCTCGGATGGCCATCCGATCGTTACAACGACAAGGGGGGAAGCGATTTTTCACTTCCTTTTTCGGCGTACCACGATGTTCGCGTCCGGTTCTGCATTCTATGCTGACACAAATTTTCAATGCAACGTGCATACACGCATCCTGTCATGTAAAATGATTAAAAATTTATAAGTTATGCATTCGTAACATTTTACGTGCGAATCATAGAAAAATGAAAATTCCAATGAAATCTCCAATAAAGCCTTTTATACAAGAAACAACCGTTTTTTCCTTTTTTTTCTATTTATTTACTTTACACCTTACATCTATAAATTTGCATAAATGTCTGCAATATAATGATTATAATATATTTCGTATATTTGTGTGTGTTAGCTTGGTTCGTTGAATGTTCAGACGATATGTAAATCGGCCCTACTACAGCTTGTACTTCCTATTGGTAAACACGTGCCGTTATCATATTCTGCCAATCAATAGCCAAAACTTGGATGGGTCCCTTTCGTATATTTGCGTAACCAACACGACCAAACAAGATGAACAAACACGCTTCCTCTTGATCCGATAATTAAAAGCCATGAATGTATTCATGGACTTTATCTATCGTGATTTCTCGATTACCTCGGATTCTCGACTACTGGTGAAAGAATCGGGGAATCTTCGGCAATGCCTCAGGTCATTGTACGACAGAACTGAACCTACTTTCGATGTAGCATTTCGTGCGGCTGTTCCGACACTAATATCTCATCCTATCCCACGATCACGATGACGTATTCGGTTACAGGACAACGAAATCGGAAGAGGATTACACGAATGCCTTTGTCATTGACGTTCGACGAAGATTTCACCGGTTCCTTGAAGTTTGTCCTGACAAGCACGCATTAAACGAATCACGATCATTTTTAAAATAGTTTTTAATGGAGATCATCGAAATATCCGGGAGACGTAATTGCTGTGTCATTAATAAGAAAAAAAAACAGAAAATGGAAACCATAACGCGCAGTTATCTCTGTCACAATAATAACATAATTGTGACCTTTCGATAAAATCATTGAAAACTAGCGCAGTAGAAATTTTATAGAGATATAGAAATCTTTTATGGGGTTTCGAGATGATCGCAAAAAATATAAAATATTCTGTATGTATGAAAAAATGATGAGTATTTAAAATTCAGTGACAAACCATTGAAAAGTAAAGCCGCATCAGAAAAATATGTTTAAAGATTGTATTCAGAAAAGTAAAGAGGAGACGGTGATAAAAATACGCACAGTAGAGATTATTGAAGTGGTTGATGTTTGTTTCCTTTTACATTAGTATACGTATGTATGTATGTATTAAATATTAGTAAACCACGATACAGTTTTGTACAGGATAAGATGAAGACATAGTTTACTGGGAAGACTATTACCATGATTATTTGTGGTATGTGTTATTCGTAACGGTGTCAACTGGCGCCACCGACTATCAGAGAATATTTGACAGGCGCAGGAATGTCGCGCTTTTTTGGAACGCGGGGATCCCATCCACGAAACAATATAGCCGTTGATTAATGAATGTCAAAGTTGAAAATTCCACGTGTATCGGCGCGTCGTGTCGGTATGGCAATTTGTTAAAGAATGAGCTGAATTTATCAAGTATGCGCCTACTCATTTCTCGGGATGCAATTATATTTTTTTTCTCTTTTAACTTTTTTTTTCAAGTAAGAATACCTCGTTCGACCTCTGAAGGTTGTTGGTGAATACCAGACGATAAATTATTGTGAAACGAAACTATCGCGTGTCGCATAAACAATTTATTTATCGACGTCTTTGCGCACATGATAAAAGTGTGGTCCGTTGATGATTTGAATTATTAATATATTCTTAACCTACGAACCGCCTAACTTTTTCTACAGCATGTGGAATAGGTACCTTATGGAAATATCCAAACGAACAACCCATTAAATCAATTTAATTTAACGATTCATTAGCTGTAACTTCGGTTCCCTTTGAGCTTGCAAATGATGATTTATTGTCAACTAATTGTAATATAATGCCAACCGTTGAATCATTTTCCATTAACTTGCTTTGAAATCATCAGCCGTTGTTATGAAAAAGTAAATGTTACAATAAAGATTTGTATCTTTTTAAATAGAGGAAGTACGTAATCGTGTAACTACAAGGAAGTAACAGTAATTGTTCGAGACATACAACGTATCAAATGTCGGTTTTCGTTATAGCCTGACTTGCATTTCCTTGACGTAGCGTTACCTCAAGGTAACAACAAAGGACATTGCTGAATTTCAAATTTTTTGTTCAGTCGATATAAGAACTACAGAATTCCGTTTGAAAAAGTGAGTTCTCTCTTGAAATAAAAAAATAATTGTTTCATTTTATGAGATATTATTGTATAATTTTTTCTTTCTGGTTTGTGGCACGTATTAAAGTATGTAAGTTAACACTGACGATTCTAAGCATTATGGAAATTTCCGATTAAACAGGTTATTTCAATTTCTAAGTTTCATTTCCAGGTGCCATAGTTTACATATATTAACCGTAGGGCCTGGAATAAGGACGTTATTAAACAGTGTCAAACAATTTTTGCATGCAGGTACAATAAATTTGATAAGCATATTTAGAGTCCGAAAGTATGCGATAGTACGTTTGGAATGTGGCATGTAGAAGCCCACGTGAATCTTATTGATGGTGTTATACCGAATTCAGGAAATTCCTCACCTCTGCTCTCTCGTGGGACGATCATAAAATCAGATTTCACGTGGATCAATTTTAATTTGGATTAAAATGCAATACTTTATGCCTTATTCTAGTGTTATTCGAATACTTTAACTGGTCAGTAGGATCAATTAGAATATCATAATTTGTCATTAAACATTAATGGATCTTGTAGCAAGGTCGGACAGCTACATATTTTATGCGTTCTTTTTTCATTGTACTTCTGTAGTTTGTTCAGTAATGAACTGCAAAAATAGCTACTACGTGTAAGTATTTGAGGTAAGTGTCATTGAACGTACAGGTGGCGCAGTCAATTTTTATCTGAGTAAACATATTGTACTTTATCTCTTTTCTAAACGCGCTGCAATCGATTCGTAATTAATTGTGAACGGTGAGTCACGGTAGAGAGAAACTGCAGACGACAGTAGACACTTCTGATCCTGTTCTCTCGAGATTGCTGACACCATTAACGTAACCTTATTAATCCTGACCGTATACGCGTGGATGTGTATTGCAAGGCTGTGCCCAAGGACGTCGTGTAAGGCCGATCTGCAAATACACGTGTAACGTACTCATTGCCGGTAAATCTTTTAATGTTGTTAATTTTACAAACTTTTGACAAAGTTGTATATTATTTTCCTCATTTTATTAACATTTTTACATCATTACTTGTAGGTGTCATAAAGGAGATCGTTATTTTTTAGTGAAAGCTATTTTATTCAACGCGTCCGTAAGATAATATTTTTATATTGTCGATAGAATTTCGTTACGCAAATTCCGGTGACGTTGTATCCGTAATCAGAAGGGGAGAACCTATTACACAATTCCGTAGGAAAGAAACATTATACACTTGAAATTCCAGACAGAAAGTATGGGGGCGTGTGATGGATTCCCGAATTCTTTTTTTGGGGGGGATGGCGAACAAGTTGACGTAAATGATGAAGCATTCTCCGCGCGGGAAATAATTTAAATGCAATTTAAAACTAGTTTAATGGTGTTCTGGCACAAGTATGCGCCCATAAATGTCTGTGTGTTCGTTGGTTGACGTCAATCCGACGAATATCGAAAAGACGTAAAATGTTAAGACGGCGCCGTTTAGCCGGGCGCACGAATCGGTTTTATGGATATATGATTAGAGATTCGAATGTCCGCTTTCGAAAGCGCGTGAAAGAGAATACTTTGCGTTCATGATCCTTTTTTTTCAACGACACCGCGTAGTACGAGAAGAATCAAATATCTTCTGAATCAAAATATTATTCCCATTTTCATTAATACTAATGTTTATCGGCGTGTTACATAGAATATGCGTGTAATTTTTTTTGTTTCCAAATAAAAAAGGATAATATAAAAAACTGAAATATGCAGGAAAGATTAAAAAAAATTAAGAAGCGTTAGAGATGATTTAATAGGTTCTTATTAGCTACAATCAATCATGTGTATGTTATTCGATGTTATCAATAGTTACAGTAGCATTATTAACATTAATTATATCGTGTTCTTGTTGATTTATGTTGGTTTGAATTCATAAAGCCTTTCAAAAAGTTGGTTTCATCTGTCATTGACACGCCTTTTTGAAGACGAGTCGAATAAATCGTAAGCGAGTGGTAGACGATAGGCAATTGGCGCCAGACGCCACCGATATATGTTGAATATTTGTCGAAATTTCTTATAGGCCATAACGTGAAGCTGCTTTAAAATTCTGTAGACATTCCAGCAGATTATTCAATAATTTTAACTAAC